TGTTCCGCAGGGGTCTGTCCTAGGACCACTCCTGTGGAACATTGGATACGACTGGGCCCTACGAGGGCGTCTCCCCCCCGGGCTGGGTGTACTCTGCTACGCAGATGACACTTTAGTCACGGCCCGGGGGGCTAACTTCCAGGAGGCGGCGCGCCTGGCCGCCACGGGAGTTTCCCAGGTGGTCGGGCGCATTGAGGCGTTGGGATTACGGGTGGCCCTGGATAAGACGGAGGCCCTATTATTTCATGGGCCCCGTCGTGGTCCACCCGCCGGCGCCTCAATCGAGGTCGGCTCGGTCCTCGTACCGGTCCGGGCCCAGATGAGGTACCTGGGTCTGGTCCTAGACGGTAGGTGGCTCTTCGACGAGCACTTCCGACAGCTTGGTCCGAAGCTGGTGGACACTGCCTCCGCCCTAGGGCGACTTTTGCCCAATTTGGGCGGGGCCAGTGTTCCCACGAGGCGGCTGTACGCGGGGGTTGTCCGGTCCATGGCGCTTTATGGTGCACCGGTGTGGGTGGCGGCTCTGGCCGCCCCGAATAGGGCGCGCCTCTGGCGCCCCCAGAGGATATTGGCGGTCAGAGCCATACGCGGATACCGCACGGTGTCCACCGAGGCGGCTTGCGCCTTGGCCGGAACACCCCCGTGGGATTTGGAGGCGGGGGTGCTCGCCGAAGTTTATCGGCGAGTGGCTGACTTCCGGGCGGAGAGCGGATTTCGCCCTCCGCCCGAAGACGTGCGCGAGTGGCGCGAAGCCGCTCGCCGAGCCACCATGGTTAGATGGTCGTTCCGGCTGGAGACTCCACGCGCTGGCTTCGCCGCCGTGGAGGCTCTCCAGCCGGTCATAGCCGAGTGGGCAGGGCGGCAGCACGGGGCCCTTTCCTTCCGGCTGACGCAGGTGCTTTCCGGGCACGGTTGCTTCGGAAAGTACCTGCACTCGGTCGCTGGGAGGGAACTGAGTCCCGCCTGCCACCACTGCGACTGCAGTGAGGACTCGGCCCAGCACACGCTGGCGGTTTGCCCCGCATGGGCGACACAGCGCCGGGCCCTCACTGCAGTCATCGGAGCAGATCTCTCGCTACCGGCCGTAATTCGCTCCATGGCCGGTAGCGACAGTTGTTTTACCGCGGTCGCAACCTTCTGCGAGGAGGTAATCTCGCAGAAGGAGGCGGCGGAGAAGGCCCGGGAGGACGACCTCCACTCGGACCTGATCCGCCGCCGGCGAACCGGGCGGCGGAGGCGCGCTTACCTGCGCCTCATGCCGCCCTGAGTGTGGCCGCGGGTGGACGGGGTGGGTTTCCCCTCCACCCGCATTAGTTGGCCAGCCGCGAGGGGGCGGCGTCCGCGTGTGCCGGACGTCGCCTAAAGAGAGGATAATTGAAGACGGAGCCCGCACCAGGAGCGGGCCGGCGCTGGGAGGGGTCCAGAAGGCGATAACTACCTGGACCCCTCCTAAACTGGAAGCGCAAAGAGGGCACACCGTGTGGTTTTAGTCGGTTCGAGTCCGACACACCACCCCGCCGCAAACCCCGGAGGGGTGACGGTCCGAGGGGATTTCCACACGTTAAAAAAAAAAAAAAAAAAAAAAAAAGGGGGGTAGTAATAGGGATTTGATTTAACTCATTAAAGATTTTGAAGAAGTTTATCAACGGGCGTTGTTGTGAAGTGTAGGCAGCACACAGCACCTTCGAGCTTGTCCATCATTTGCGGTGTAAGAAGTTAAGTTAGAACTTTAAATCTATTAAGAGATTATTGTATATGTATTTATAGCAATGTAAAAGGTAGGTATAACTTTTTATATGGACTGCTACAGAAAGGTGTAGACATATTTAAGGGTTGTATTTTGGGAAAGTTCGTAATTACCGTGATACTGAAATCTTGTTTTGGAAGTGACTACTTGAATTTGAAAGTTGACTGTCAAATCTAATATTGTTTAGTCTTCAGGAATTATCATATTTATTCGAAGATTAATTTTTTGTTTCGAAACCTAACAATTTGAAAGCATGACGATTCATCCGAGGATGAAATAGTTTACATATGAACCGTACCCTAATTCGTTTCGCTACCATCACTTGGGCGTTAGGCACGTGAACAAATTATTTTGCTACCGTCACATGGGCGTTAGGTGAAAAATTTATTAACTGTACCTGTTACTGTACCTTACTTTTCTTTTATATAATAGTTCTTGTACGGCCAAGTCACATATTTTGACTAAGTTAGTAGTTTGCCTCTACCTGATAACGTTTTGATAGTGTGAGCCATTGGTCTCGTCTTCGCAAAATTTTACATGAAAATATTTTTGGCGGGATTTTACTTTTTGTAAATTCCTCAGATCAAGCTATGAGGGCCAAAAAACGACACAGCACTTCGAGAAAAGGTAGGTACTGCCCTTACGCTTTACACTACCAGGCCCCTAGAAGTCTTCTAAAGTATTAAGTATACTTTAACCACGAAATAAATACTGACTGAACTGCCACAACTTTAATTTCAAAAACTATGTGAAAAAATGTGCTTCATTTTAGAGACCTGAAGATCCTTAAATATATTGAATATTAACAAAAAGCTAATACCACAAGCATTAATAACCGCATACCGACAAGCAGTTAGTACCTACGGTTCTTTAACATTATCATTGTCTATTAAAACTTCTTTATCCACGCTAGCTCCAAAAAAAACTGAGTATTTTATCTTAAATACATTCAAATGATATGGAAAACGTATGAAAAGTCCAATAAATTAACACGTTATCAAGTTTATCTAAAAATTACTAAGAATTGGTGCAAAATAATAAAAAATGACGGCTTTGTCGATAAGAATATTTAAATGAATGTTTACAAATCCACATCTGGAATCTATAATTAGTGCGTAAGTATCTATAGCTACTTACATGCATAATAATTTGGTTGGCCACAGATCATTGATACTTATCGAGTAAACATTTGCGCACACGCATACCGATGCTCAGTAATGATGGGATCTATATCTGTTGCCGCGGATGTAGCACAGGTGCTCTCTGACAAGCAAAATAAACTCAACCGTAATCGATTTGAGAGTTTTAGAGCCAACAGTTGTTCTTATATCGATTCATTTTGTATTATGTTTAGGTTACGCTATAATCGAGTGCGCGTTGATATTCAGTTTTATTCTTGGATCTGTTTTGTGTAGTTTTAAGTAGCAACACACTTCCTTGTGCCTGTTCGATTTTATCAGAATTTATTAACTTAGAGTATCTTTTTTGTTATAGAAATATTTAAAAGTCCATATGACATTATGAGTAATCCTGTAACATAACATAACGGTTTTGTTTCAAAGATACGCAAGTAACAGCGTATAGGGGGTAATAAAGACTTGCATAATGCATTAGGTAATTCAGTAAACTCGTTGCACTATCTCACTCATAATGAAAACATCAAGTCCCATGCATATTGAAGTAGAAGGAACTCCGTAGCGTGGTTTTCACAATACACATTAATTCATAATACATTCGTGCCGGTCAAAAGATATACATATGAGTGACTATTATTACGACGATAATTAATTTGTGTGCATTGAAATATAAACAAATAAAATGTAGCCTATATACTATACTATTGGCTTTTTTCTCAAATGTGATGAAAGTCCATTGTACTGTAATTTTTTTTTCGACAAGTTTGATTCTTCTGGACGTTATCCGGTGAGGCTTAGGTTCAAGTGTTAACATTTTTACTATGCAAAAGTGTTAATTTCACAAAAAACACGGATACAGTTGAGACAACTACTCATTAGTGTCAAATCAAATTCTTCACCAACTATTGGGTATAATGTGTAATAGAAATTATGGTGTAAGAAAGTACTTATACCTAAGAATAAAAATCATAGAAAATGATTGGATTATTTAAATAATTAGATTTGGATTTATTACAATTTTCGATTTATTTTACCTAGCAATGTTAGTTCTAGGAAGCTAATACCATTGCTCGGTATAACATGAATTGTCACTGTATAGACCACTTTTTGACGTTTTCACATATATTTTTTTGCACTTTATTACTTACATGTTGACTAAAATTATTAACACTAATTCATCACAATCCACTGTGCCCGAAATTGCTTTAAATTTTGGCGCAAAGGAATTCTCTACATGTACTAAGATATACCTAGATTTCTACTTGATAGATGATAATTAGACAATACCGGAAATGTTTAAAAGTATGTACTCCTCTTCCTAATACCTAGAAGCCGTTACCGGTACTTATAAGCACTGTCAAAATTAGTACCAGTCACACCAGAGTTGAAAACTCAAAATTCTCCCCACACCGAACTTACAACACCATACCTTCCTACTAATCATAAAACAAAAAAACTCCGGTTACAGTACTAGTAGGTATTACTAATTGCTTTATCTATGGTATTGGCATATGTGTAACAAATACTAACACATATGGTATTATACTAGTCCACAAAATTTTTTTGACGGTTCACTTTCTTCTTTGCCATTTTCGAAAAATTATTGTTTTAAATCAAGTTAGCGTCATTTAGGATTCATGTTCGATACTTAGGTGCATCATCTCATTTGATTTTAGAAATTGTTAATAAAAACAAGTACAAGGCCTAGTACCTAAAATTTTAACTAAGTTAATTAGTTGTTTACACACTTACCTCATTTAATCGTTAGTTTTTGGTAATCATGTTAAATCTATTTATGCCCACAATATTTTTTGATGACGCTATAGCCAATAAAATTTAATCTGAATTGCAAAACTTTATACAACACATTAACCAGAAGTATGTTGTAAACAAGTGCATTTGAACCATCATGCATGATCATTGATCAGTCAATGCTGGCTCACTCTATAATATGATCGCAACGCCCAACAACTGCCGACCAATCGGAACGGTTCATTAAACACGCCACGCCCAAAGCCTGCTCCCGCGCCGATAACGAGATGCGACGCTTGTCAGTTTTTCAGTTGCTTTCATAACAGAAGGTTTGTCTGATGGTTTGTTTGTGAAGTTTTGTGACAATGACTTCTTTGAATGGTGAAATAAATACAGCGAGTAAACTAAAGTTTAGTGTAGACAGTATTCTTGGGAATAACGATACGTCTCATTCGCATTCGAGTGCGTCAGTGGCGGAGATACCGAGAAGTCAGGAACCTCCGTGCGCAGGGTGCGTGGCTGCCCTTTACCGCTGCTGCAGAGACGAACCACCCCTGCTGCAGTTGCCAATGCCACTTCCTTACACACATTTACACCCAGCTTTAAGACCCACCACCGGTGCGTTTAGATTTGTTTTACTTAGTTTGTTATGTGTATTGATAGAAAATGAGTATTCAATTAAATGTATCTTTACTATAATTATCAGTATATATATTTTTAGACATAAATATATATATATATATATTAAATCTACTGTTAATTTTTATGTCACAAGTCTAGATTCAAGGGAAAACATACATTTTTGTTTTTAACCGACTTCAACAAGGAGGAGGTTATCAATTCGGGTGTTTATATATTCGGATATAACTCCGTCGTATATAGACGGATTTTCTAAATTCTTTATTTATTAGTTTAGTATTTTTTAAGTTTCTTTTAAGTTTGGGTTGTCCCAGAAGTCTCACAGAGAAACTTACAAAAACAATTATCTGATTTTTAACGTAATACTCCACTTTCTGGGACAATTCCTCTTAAATTGGATAAGGTATTGACAATCTGTAGGTATCTATGCGTCTTAGTATGACCACTTATGGATCTCCATAGTAATCTTACTATAAAATTACTTTTATAAGTTACTATAAAGATTAATTAACCAAAACATATTTTTGTGTTAATCACCACTTACTGTCATCGTTCATTCTCACCCCAGGTAAGTAATTTCTTATCGCTAAAGGCATGAGTATATTCATGGATTTATTACCAATTTATTCACGCTCCTTCGTCTGCGATGGTTGTGTTCTATGTGGTATCGGATTCAGGCAACAAGCTAACATGTTTTTAATTATATTGGACGTGATGAAATATTGGTTACGTTTTGTAAACATATAGCTTCTTTGTTACGATAATATAATGATTATGGCAAAAGTCCAGAAAACATTTAACCATTTACCTTAAATATGACAGTCTACAGTGTAATACTACCAACACTGTAGTTAAAGATAGAATTAGGCTAACAGAGGTGGCTAACTCTGAAGGTTTAGCCCTAGAGAGGTAGCTAAGCTAAGGCTGCAAAAAAATAATTACCATAGATGTCATCAGATAAACATGGAACCATTTATTTCATAAATTTTTCGCTTACATATGATATTTGATATAACTGTGCGATTGTCTTGTTCTGAAAGTTTAGGCAGGTATGTATGTGAAAAAATATCAAATGTTATCATAAAACTCCTATCTATTTATCATTTTTAAAATTAGTAAAAAACAAAAATATATCTTTATCATATTTAAATAATCTTCTTTTATTCTTATCAAAGCAGCGGTAGCCTAGTGGTTAAGGCGTTGGACAAACAGGTCGTAGGTTCAAATCCTGACCGGTTCACTACCCACGTGAACCCACTCCTAACACAAGCAATTTAGCTTAGCGGGAGGGGTTAACGGGAAATCTTGTAATTTCGGTTGCTAGTAGACCTTTAAAAAAAAATACCGCATCTTTTACATCTGGTTACGTCAGTTAAGTCTGGTTTTTGAATTCAGTTTTTCTTTTAAAGCTCTTTTTGTTTTATTTAACTTTTGGGTTGGAGGTAGGTAAGTACGTATAATTCTTAAAAAATACCTGAATCTGGTGCTGGAAAATTGATTCTAGATTTGCATAATCTAGTTGCAGATTAATTAATCAGATCAGATTAGGTAATCTTGAGTGAACTGAAACTCGTGTCCGTTATTGATGTAGGCACTGATGTAATATATTTTCTGATTTTTTGCAATATTTTACTATATCAGAAGTATTTTTTGCATTACAAAAAAGACTCGAAGAGAAACATTTATGTGTCTATTTCCGACGATAAGTGCACTACGCGCCTTATTGAGAAATATCGTACACGTTCGTTTATGTCTTTTGTTATGTTAATGTAATTTACAGAAACAATTTTAAGAAACTCTTTAGTGGAAAGTGTTATGAAAGGGTTAGGAATAGTTTTACACCTAGAACTGAACAGATTATCAGCATTTCAATTTTTTATTTATTTTACATTCTAGAAAATTAACACAACCAAAATGAATTTACATTTTTTTTTTACATTTGTTAACAAATGATAAATATTAATTTGTACTAATGAAAGATCTTAAAATGGAAAGCATCATCTTGAATCCATGTACTTTTGAGAAAAGTTTTTTATACAAATTAATCTATTTATTTCTAGTATAAGTTCAACTGTCCATTTTATATTATTTAGACTATCCTCACCATGACAGTATACCTACCTGAAGCCTGTTGCGTTTTCTAGCCGTTTTATATAGCATATTACAGATAAAAGAAAACAAAATCTATTTTATTGTTTAAACTAAACCATTTTTTTCGGTTAAACATAATCCTCTTAACAACTTCTTACTGTAAAAACCTGTATAAACTTCAAGTAATATATTCCAAGTTTATATGCCTCCTCTCACAACTTTTGCTTGCTAGAAAAAGTGAAGAAAATTTGTGCTTCACAAAAAAATCTGTTCACATAACTATTATAGCATATTCTTCAGAAGTTTAATGGCTAACAAAATGTGTGTTTCAATATTTTCGGCCATCTGACACACAACGCCATCTAGTTTCAAGCTAAGCAGAGCTTTTACTATGAAAGCTACATTGACTAATAGAATACTGAAATACTTTTTTTATGAATGTATACGTATTATACATAGAAAACACCAAAACTAAGAAACAAATATTGCAAATCATAGAAACATTTGATCCGACCCGGAAATCGAACCCGAGACCTCAGCACAGCAACCGCATACGCTACCACTGCATCCCCAAGGCAGGCAATAAACTGTTAAGATACCATAGGGAATATTCATAGGATATGATTTGTAAAAATATAAAGTCCAATCATTTTAATAACGCTTGAAGATACTTCCCATGGTGAGAACGAGGGCCCGAGACCCCCGCGTAGCTAAGCAAAACCGACGCAGCAAGACGTACAAACCTGTCAATGAGTTTTTTTGACCTCCTGACTTACCGTTATATCTCACATAATACTATATATTTTCTTCATCATTCAACTCTATTCATTTCTAAAAGAGTTTTTGTCCTTTGCTATATTGCTTTTAAAGGAGGAATACTAGCTGTCTCAAACTCGTATAATATGTTATCACTCTCTTTAAGTTTCATTTTAAGTTCCCTATGTCCTTCTCCAAGTCTTTTGCTAAGTTCATTAAGACAGTGGTGAACCTATTTATTTTTTGAAACTTTATGCACAAAACGTAGAATGACGGACTTAGTGCCATACGCATTCTCTACCAGTCTTACGTAGAGTGGTGTGGTCGTGTGGAAATGAGTGATAAGGTAAACTACATTTTTTGGTTAGAAATTCTAAAGTAAAAAAAAAGAAAAGATACAATTATTGAAATTTAAATATATCTAGATATACATACAAGGACACTTGCATACATAAAATAAAATGAAATAAAATAAAACTTTATTCAGTAAAAGACACAGCATACAATTCATGTTGATAATAAAAACAAAGAAAACATTGTATATGATTAGGTGGTTATCACAGTTTTGAGGCCTACAACTATTGCATGTGCAACACAAGGCGATTTCATATCTGTGGTCACATTATATTATACATATGTGTAGTATAAAAACATGTATGACTCGGTAACATCAGTGCTTCTTTTCATAATAAAAAGTGCTATGTCCTTTTGAGAACCTCTGACAACAAACGTAACAAACAACCGAATAAATAAACCCATTTTCGTATTTATAATAGAGATGATAATAACATATTAATATAAATATTTTCCGAATAGAAATTTATTGCATAACTCTTGATACTAAATGGATAGTAGGTACCTTTATGTGGTTAAAGAACTTAATAATAAAATAAATCAATTAAATGGCAAATTTCTATTATATTTGATTTATCTTAACGACTAGTTAAAAAACATTAGCGAAAAGCTAAATGCAGCTTAATCAGGTTCCCGGGGTCCTTCCGGGTGCCAGGGAATTCCGTTCAGGATACACCTGATTCTCCAGCTACCAGTACCCGAGACAACGTGGTTTTTAGTCGTTTCGAGGCCGACAAAACCACCACGATGGTATCCAAGGGGATTTTCACCATGGTGCTTTCAAACAAAAAAAGGAAAGCTAAATTCAGCTCAGCTAAGATCAGGTTCCCTGCGATGTTAGTATGAATAAGGTTATTTAAATTTAAAAAAATATGAAAACAATAAAAACATAGCAACAACTAAATCAAATGAACGAGTAACTCTTTCTCTTTCTTTTTTTTCCTCTTGGCGTAGTGTTTTATTACAGTGTTTTAGTTGTTTTATTATATATATTCCCTATTAGGAGTATAAAAATCATCATGCGATTGAGTTTTTGGAGAAAATTCAGGCCTTTTGGGACTAGCCGAGCGGTAACATGTTCATACCCAAATGATTTGTTAAAATGGTACGGATCGACTGAAATACAGAAAGTTCGGCAGCTAACTCTCTCAAAGTTGAATGAGGATTTTCAGACACTATTTCCTTCACTTTTGCGATGTTAACTTGAGTTGCAGACGTTGATGGCCTACCAGAGCGAGGCAAATCTTCCATCACATCTCGACCGCTTTTGAACGCTTTGTACTACTCATAAACACGTGTTTTTGATAAAGTTGATTCACCGTTAGCCTTCTGTAACATTTTCAGTGACTCCGAACACGAAATTCTATTGGCGATGCAAAATTTAAGACAAACTCTTTGTTCGATGTTTTTGTCCATTATGAAATTCGCAATACACACTAGATATAATATAACTAAAAACAGCACTGTATTTAATATAAATAACAGAGAAAACTCCGCGCCAAAATGGAAAACAGTTGTGCCAATCTAACAACAACAAAAATTTGAATTTGGAACCTTAAACAAATCATCCATTCCCGATACTTTTTTGACTGAATGTATGTTGCTAGGCTAAAAAAAATAAGTTAAATAAATTTAACAAAATAAAAAACCAAGGTAGGTTTAAAAAAATTTTTATTCAAAGACATTAGTTGCATTGTAGATACATAGAAACATTTAAATATGTGTAGAAGCCCCCACATACCTAAGTATTTTATTAATCTTTTGATACACTTGACAAT